CTGGGACGTCATCGGGTTATCTGAAGTCCGAAGAGAGGGAGAGGACACGATAACTCTGGACTCCGGTAACTTGCTGTACTTCCGTGAGGGCGACCAACAGTCCGTAGGTGGTGTCGGGTTTATCGTCCACAAGTCCCTCGTCAACAACGTGCTGACCATCGGTAGTGTTTCGAGTAGAGTAGCGTACTTGGTACTCAGAATATCATCACGATATTCGATGACTGTCATCCAAGTCTACGCTCCAACCTCGAAACACACCGATGACGAAGTGGAGGCTATGTATGAGGAGATCTCTCGGGCCATGCATAGCCACAAAACCCACTACAGGATTGTGATGGGGGATTTCAATGCAAAGTTGGGGAAACGTTGCGGCGACGAGCTGAGAGCGGGGCAATTTGGAGTTGGGGAACGGAACGACAGGGGCCGAATGCTGGCGGACTTTATGGAGAGGGAGAACCTCTATATGATGAACTCCTTCTTCAGAAAGCCCGTCACCCGCAAATGGACCTGGATAAGTCCCGACGGCAAGGTCAAAAATGAGATTGATTTTATCATGTCGACGAAGAAGCAAATATTCAATGATGTCTCAGTGATCAACGCTGTTAAGACAGGAAGCGATCACCGCATGGTAAGAGGCACATTGAATATCAACGTTAAGCTTGAAAGATCGCGACTGATAAAATCAACGCTCCGACCGGTGCCAGCCCAAATTCAAAACCCCGAGCGCTTTCAGCTCGAGCTCCAGAACCGCTTCGAGTACCTTGAGAACAGCATAGACGTGGACGATCTGAACGACCTGGTGGTGGATACTGTCCGTACGGTAGGGTCTAAACACCTTAAAGCCCGCCGTACCATGTTAAAGAAACTCTCCGCATACACACTCGAACTCATGGATAAGAGACATTAAATGAGACTACAGGACTCAGCGGATGCATTTCGTTATAGACAGCTTAATAGACAGATCTCGAAGTCGTTGACGAGCGACCTTCGCCACTTTAATACCGAGCGTATTAAAGAGGCCATAGAGCGGAACAAAGGCTCCAAAGTGTTCGCTAGAGATCTGTCTATTGGGCAAAGTCAACTGACGAGGCTGAAAACTGAGGACGGTAGTATCATTTCATCGACTCCTGAAATCCTGAGGGAGATTGAGAGTTTCTATAGGCAGTTATATTCCAGCAGAACACCAGGCGAAAGCAGAGCTCGAGATCCTAGAGCCAAGCTTACCCGACATTATACCGAAGATATCCCGGACGTCAGCCTGTACGAGATTAGAATTGCCCTCAAACAGCTTAAAAACAACAAGGCGGCGGGAGATGATGGAATCACAACAGAGCTTCTGAGAGCGGGCGGTACGCCGGTACTTAAAGTCCTCCAGAAGCTCTTCAACTCCGTCATCCACCAGGGCAAAACGCCGAAGGCATGGAGCAGAAGCGAGGTGATTTTGTTCTTCAAAAAGGGTGATAAGACCCTACTGAAGAACGACAGACCCATCTCGCTTCTGAGCCATATCTACAGGCTGTTTTCGAGGGTCATTACGAATCGTCTCGCTCGCAGGCTCGACGACTTCCAGCCTCCCGAACAAGCCGGTTTCCGAAAAGGCTTTAGTACCATAGACCACATCCATACGCTGCGGTAGATTATACAGAAGACCGAAGAGTATAATCGGCCATTTTGCTTAGCGTTTGTGGACTATGAGAAGGCCTTCGATTCGATCGAGACCTGGGCGGTGCTGCAGTCTCTCCAGAGGTGCCAAGTGGACTACAGGTATATCGAAGTGTTAAAGTACCTATACCAACAGCGAGGGGTGAGACAGGGAGACGTTATATCTCCGAAACTGTTCACTGCTGCGATGGAGGATATTTTGAAGCTTCTGGACTGGAAAGGACTCGGCATTAACATCAACGGCGAGTACCTGACACACCTTCGATTTGCCGATGACGTAGTCCTAATGGCGGAGACCTTGGAAGACCTGAACACCATGCTCGAGCATCTCAGTGACGCATCCCAGCGAGTGGGTCTTAAGATGAACATGGACAACACTAAAATCATGTCCAACGCCCATGTTGCACCCGCTCCAGTTAATGTTGGGAACGTTACACTTGAAGTTGTTGACCACTACGTTTACCTCGGACACACAATCCAGTTAGGTAAGTCCAACTTCGAGAAAGAGATCTCTTGTCGAATCCAACTCGGATGGGCAGCGTTCGGGAAGCTGCGGAATATCTTCGCGTCCAAAATACCTCAATGCCTTAAGACGAAAGTCTTTAACCAGTGTGTGTTGCCAGTGATGACCTATGGCAGTGAGGCGTGGTCGTTTACTATGGGTCTCATAGGACGGCTCAAGGTCGCCCAGCGGGCAATGGAGAGAGCTATGCTTGGTGTTTCCCTGCGTGATAGAGTCAGAAATGACGAGATCCGTAGGAGAACTAAAGTCACCGACATAGCTCGAAGAATAGCCCAGCTCAAGTGGCAGTGGGCGGGACACATAGCGAGGAGAACCGATGGCCGTTGGGGCGGAAAGGTTCTCGAATGGCGACCGCGTGCCGGACGACGCTCAGTGGGAAGACCCGCTACAAGGTGGACCGACGATCTGGTGAAGGTCGCGGGAAAACGCTGGATGCGGGCAGCGCACGACCGATCGTCGTGGAGATCCTTGGGGGAGGCCTATGTCCAGCAGTGGGCGTCATACGGCTGATATGATGATGATGATGAATGGCTTAAGAAAAATAGTTTGTCATCATCCCTATTAATATTTTTTTATGGCTAGCTGCCTAGACAGACGTGGAATACAACTCCCTGCATCCTTCGTATACATAATAAGTAGCTACGATATGGAATGTACTCAGTGATCTTCGCATGAAAATAAAAGATGTCTTTAGAAAGTGAGAATGAATATACATCAGCCAACACATGGGCCCCTCAAACGCTAATAATCCTAATTCTGTTTTTAACCGACTTCAAAAAAGGAAGAGGTTCTGTGTTCGACTGTATGTATATATACAAGATGGTCCAATTAGTGACGTCAAAAATTTATTTTTTAGATTCCTCGCACCTGGGGCTATCCGAAAATACCACATGTATGTTCCGCGATTTTTCTTTTTAAAGGTATATTTTTTTTTGTGTATTTTTAATGTGTTGTTGTCTACGTCTCCGTGGTGTTCCACAGAGATATATACCATCGCCTTTGTGAATATCATAACCTCTACGCTCTAATGAGTGATGCATGACATGAGTAACATTCATATATTTCGTCTCCTTTTTTTAAAACCTTACAAATATCCATTCGGGAAATTCTGCTGTGCCAAACAGGTTATTTTCACGCAAATATTAGTTATTACATACCTACATACTATACAATATAAAAAAGTACGAATCTGGTTAGGTATGTAAGTATATTCTTTTCTACTTGTATTTTTTTTTTATTTTATTATATTTGGGTTTGGGATAAATGATGTTTGTACTATTTGCATAAAATATAAAAAAGTATACTTATTTGCTTAATTGTTTTCACATTTATGCAAATAAGTATACTTTTTGTATACTTTGACGACCTCCGTGGCCGAGTGGTTTGTACGCCGGGTTTCAAGGGGTGCCTACTCGAGAGGTCCCGGGTCCGGATTCCGGTGGGGGCAGATGTTTGTATGATGAACACGAGCATTTGTACTCCAGTCATGGATGTTTAGTATGTATTTCTATATAAATATACTTATAAACTAGCTGACTCAGCGAACTTCGTACCGCCCTAAAAAAATAGGGGTTGTCCAGCGGACAAAATTGTGAATCTAAACCATTCTCAGATCCCCTTGAACACACACAAAAAATTTCATCACAATCGGTCCAGTCGTTTAAGAGAAGTTCAGTGACATACACACTCACAGAAGAATTATATATATAAAGATGTATCAGTATACGTATTCTATTCGTAACCCTAGTATCCCATAACACGAGCCTACACTGTTGGAATTTTTTTTCTGTTTTGTAAAAGAAAACAAATTGACCTGCTCAGTACTAATATTCGGTCAGGGAGTGACCAACAATGCTAAATTTAGGCTCCAGATTTAGAGACCCCCGAGGGGAGATGACATCCGCCTGGAACACCTCTAGAGGCACTTGCTAATTCTTGGCTTGAGGTCCATTTAGAATCTCGTCATTCCCAAAATCCGGAGACGCTGTAAACATCATCTGCGACCAACAATCTTTCCAGTAGCCAGCCTTTGGAAGGATGGCCAGGAAGTTTTTTATTTTTCTTTTAAATAAAATAAAACAAATAGGAAAAAGAGTCACAGAAACATCAACCACTAAGTGTAATTCAGCATTATCTCTTTTATACTTCATACAAAATCAAACCCAATAAATTTACTGTTTGTCATTGATTTCCATTTTTAGTCTCAGAATCCTTTCTTATCTGTGAGTTTATCAGATCTTCGCCAAGTCTATTTGGGACAATGTTTTTTTATTTGTTAATTAATGGGTAAGCTGTTGATCCTCTTTCCGGCCCGAGAGCATGGATTTGATCTACGGTGTAGAAGCCTATTTACTGTGGCTTTATAAAGAGTCGAAATATAAAATATGTACTCGGAAACACTGACGCAGGCAATTCCACTCCTCGAAAAAAATGTTTCAAATTAAGATAAAATTCCCAAAATTATTTTTATCTGGCGGAATAATTGTGTAACAAACGTATAGTCGATTTTTTTTGTGATATCCTATAGAAAATGACAAAACGACAATTTCAATTTGACATCACTGTATGCGCTAAATTTTAGTTTTAGGTAAATTGAGCAAAATTGCTGCAAGTTAACCTAATATGTTATGATATAGGCATAAGCTCCACTTGTAGCAAATTTGCTAAATCTCAATTTAACTGAAACTAGATATAGTCCATATAGTGCAAATTTACATTGTCATTTTTCTTTGGATTACATCTAGTTTTAGATGAATCGAGATTCAGTTAATTTTCAGCAAGTGGGGTCTTATGTAACAAGTGATATTATTTTCAGGTAATGGCTACATCGAGGGAACCGAGTTGGATGGGTTTTTGCGCGAGTTCGTGTCTTCGGCCAATTTTACTGACATCAGTCCAGATGTAAGTCGAAGAGCATCATGATTATTTTCGTTATTTTGTACAGTGTTGCCTCAAATAAATAGATTAATATTTTTGCAGTTTGACGAGTATTATAACAATATATATGACGCAGAATGATATGATTAAACGAGTTTTCTCGAAAATCCTAGGGGTTTTGCGAAAACATGGATATAATTAGACAATGGCGATGACATTTCTCAATCTTACTGAAAAAAGATAGAATTTTTGTGAAAAAGCGAGTCGCCTCAGTAAGATTGCGAAAAATATCATTGGCTTATTATAAATATTCTTGAATTCGCGAGTTCACACTAAAGTTAGATTAGGCTAGTGATGTCACCATGACGCGAGCCGAGCAAGCAACAACGGCCGGTGAAGCGCCAGATAAAAATTTCGTTAACAGAAACATTGAACAATGTCATCATTATGTAATTATCCGCGTTTCCACAAAATCCATAGGATTTTTGGGAAAATTCGATTTATCAAATCAATAAACGACATAATATATAAATCGAGGCATAACTCTGTTCTACCACTGTCTACTACTTTTTATTGGGTTGGTTTGAAAGATATGGACGAATAAGTGTAGAACTTTTTTGAAACTTATTATCACACAAATAAATAAAGTCATTTAGATTTGATTTGAATTTTTATGTTTGATTTGAACGTTCAATGTTATGTGGCTAGTTTCCAGATATAGATAATAATAATTGCTAGGGGATGTTCTTTGGTCGATTAGTTAGAGCTATTAAACCGAGTCGTTCGTCTTTAATTTCTGTGACATACCACTAAAACTGTTAAAATATTAAAGTTGAGCAAAGTCATGGTGCATTTAACTAATTATATTATTTATACTTTATTAAAAATTACTAGTGGGTGCCAGCGACTTCATCTGCGTACAAAAATTTGGTTTTCCATACAAAATTCCACCTCCTTTTCATCCCCTTAAATGGTGATTTTTGGGATAAAAACTATCCTATGTCCTTTTCCGGGACTCGAATTATCTTTATTCCTCATTTAAATCAGTTCAGCGGTTTTTGGCAGTACAATCCTGCATCATTTATGTAAATTGTAGTTTAATTACTATGAAATTAATGATCTAAAATAAAGCCGCTATCAATGCGAAATATAATCCAGTAACGAAGTCTCCAATGTACCTATTATCACAAAATAGAGAGTGCAGAAGATAAGCTATTTATTTATTTGCTATCATGTATAAAAGTTAAAAGATTTTACATATATTCTCAGTTATAGTACATGACTGACATGACCCTGTAATCACATGTATCGTACTTCACTTTGCATACCTTGTCAGCTTTGGCTTATGCACAAAAAAACTATGGTGGTAGTGACACTCGCATCTAGTCGTTTGATTTATTGTCGACAATAAACAGAAAGAATAAGAAAGTGGTAACTAAAAAATAATATGTTGTTATTTATTTTTAAGCATTTAACTGCTAGATGTTTAAATCTAAAGAAAAGTTTACTAGAAAAGAATCCACGCGGACCAGGCAGCGGACGGGACTCGAACCCGCACCCTTCGCAATCCGGGCGAATGCACATTTTCCTAGCCTTAAGCTGCAAGGCAGCGCCATCTCTTCGCATTGTAGGTAACCCACAATGTCAAATGAATACTTTTTCAAGTATTAAACATTTGAAAGAAGAAATAGCAATTATAGTTATGTTGTTATTTATTTTTAAGCATTTAACTGCTTAATATTTTTTTTTCTAGTAAACTTTTCTTTAGATTTAAAAAATAATAATTAAAATTTTATGTTATTGTTATATTACAAATGAAAAATAACAATTATTCATCGTTATATGTTGAATTGAAATAACCGTCTTCTGAACAGACACAATAACTTTTTTCGTTGCTCCATTTTCACACAAAAAAGTTCACAAACGCGTGTCTTAAGTTAATTTGACACGCGCTCGCCGTGGTCCCTGCTTGAAGATATGGTGTCCGTGATCGGTGTCTATGTGAGCGTTGCTCGAGCGCGTGTAGCGTGTATCTACATAGATTACCTTCTGTTCTGTCTATTTTTTGGTGCCATGTATGAGATAAGGCAAACATAAATCAATGCGTGTGTGGTGAGGGACCAGCCCATATGCCCTATTATAGGACGTAATTCGAGATTAAGTGTAGTGTACTGTCCCTAACAAAGGACTTTTATCGCTGTATCTAGGGACGATGGACGCTACAGATTTACAGTTAAAATGTCAACAGTTGGGGAACTTTACAAATCTTTACTAATATTATAAACTAGTGGGTGCCCGCGACTTCGTATGCGTAGATAATTGGTTTACAAATATACATACAAACTTTCATCCCATTTCATTCCCTAATGGCTTTTTTATTTTATATTTTTTATATGATAAAATCTTTCCGTCCTATAGACACGTCCTTTCCCGAGCTTTAAATGATCGCTATGCCAAATTTGAACTAAATCGGTTCAGCGGCTTAATTTGACTCATTAATTTTTTTATGTATATTATTTAATTCTTGTGAAGTGCCGGAATCACTTTGGATGCTAATCACAACAACAAGTAGCTAGGGCTGTCAATCTAACTCTCTCCACGTTTCCCGCCTAATAGTGAAAAGATTCATTGTACTCGCTCGCCTGTCAGTTATCGTTAGCTGTCCCGGAAGTTTCACTTTCACTTCAAGTTTAATGGGAAAGAAAACAAAGGGTGCCGATCTCAAGCAGTTTGTTGGCATCATTTTTCTGGTAGAAATTGTAGGAAAACTAGTACTTAGTACGTAACATATAGAATAAAGTATTAGTAAAACTTTGAATACTACATTTCGAAATTTATTATAATAAGTTTTAATATGAACTCTTTTTTATTGATTTACTAATTTAGTACACACCCAATAAAACAGATAAGTAGAACAGGAACGAAAAACGAAAAAAATTGTACAAGGACACTGCTTATTTTATATTGAAATTTCTTCCAGCAGGCCCGCGAAAGGAAAAACAAAAAAAAGCCGTCAGTATGTGCCTCCTGAATATAAATCTTTCAGATAGGTGACGATTATTTCTGCGATTAAATAAAACGTTGGTGTTAATTTACAAAATATACATACATACTTACTTTACTTTTATTTAAAGGTTGAACCTAATTATGTATATTTTTTTAGTATATTTTTTATATACGAGTATATACAATAACCATACTACCTAACATAAGTTTATATATTTGTTAATGTGAAATTCCTTATAACTTGGTGTTGTTTTGTTTAAATAAACTAACTTGACATTGTATCGTCTAATGATCATGTAACGATTCGAAGTAATCATTTTACCAATAATTATATTTTGATCAAATAAATGAAAAGATCAAATTTTTCTTTAATCTATCCAAACCACCAACGCATGATATAAGTGATTCGAATAACGATTATTCTTTTCTTTTTTGTTTATATAGCTCTATTTTAGTTGAGCGATTTTATTAGTTGGTTATTTATATAACTTTTTATGTTTTTTGTAATAAATTATATTCATACAAATAATCTTGTTAGAATAGAAATTTCACCAATCCATATTAATTTGCGGACAAATTTTCAAATAATTATACGATTCAGGTGGCTTTGACTAAGATGAAAGACGAACTTTGCTACTTAATTAAATTATAGTCGAATTTAAGGGAAGTCGAAGCTAATGACTACGATTGATAACAATTTAATCAAAGTCTTTCCATTATTTTCATAGTATTTGAAACACAATTAGAGTTTAAATTTAAATTAAAACATTTAGCAGTTCAATGCTTAAAAATTAAAATATAACTCCAAAGAAAAAAAGTATAGTGTTAGTATCTTTTCTTTAATAAATAAATATATAGTGTATCAAAAACAGATTAAGGCAATCAATCAAAATAAATTAAAAACTTTAAAATACTGCAGTTCACTTCAAGATAATTCATAATGAAATTCTTTGTTTTCGCAAAAATAAGCAAACAAAAAGGTAAAACAACTTTATAAATATATTACGCAATCTGTCAAATGACAGCCCTAACTTTAATCTTGGCGACAACAAACTGAGGAAGTTTGTGAAAGTTTCATCGCAGCGCTCTTTAGAATTTCCTTTAATTCGTTAAATTTTCTTGAAAGATAACTTATTAATTCAGTTATTGTTTGTTGGGACCTGAGACTCCTTCATCTAGCTCTATCTTGCGTAACCTTGAAAATTTCTTTTTGTGGCTGAATTAAATTAGTACAATCAGGATCTTGTACAATTAAAGATTTACTACACTTTACACAACTTAAAGGTACGATAAGGTTTAGCGGGTTTAACTCTCAGATTACAGTACCCTTAGCAGAGACCGAAATGTCATTGTCAAATGTGTACTGATGTTTAGTTCTCATTACGTACGTTTGTGGCGCTGCTGTGCAAGTTTCTATGCAAAATTTGACATTGACATTTCGCACTCGCAAACTAATCGAAAACGATAATGGTTCGTGCTAGGGGTACAGAACAAAAAGGCATATGTAGCACACGCAATACGTGGCACCATAGCAAATACGAAGTCAAAAGCTACTATCAATTCGCGCCAGTACACCACAACGCATCGTGCTGTGAATGCGTCCCGTGCATATTAAGTTTTTAACAAAACTGTGCCGCCTTGTTCATGCATCGTAAAAACTGTTCACAAAGACAAAAGAAGAATTCACTTTTGAGTTTGCATTTGCTTTTGGACCTAGAAGTATCTTGCGATTTCACCTGCTTTAATATGAGGAAAAAGATCATAGGTCCGGACTTTTTATAGAACTTTTTAAGGGAAACAATTCCGTTGTACATGATTTTTGTGTAACTTTTACAACATTTTTCATTGGTGCTCCGCTCCTATTAGCTTAAGCGTTATGTTATAAAGCATATTTATATTAATTGTACGTAATGTTAACTAACATTATAACTATGTATTTAATTGTAGAAAACTCACAGCTATTGAATCCACTATACTGATTTTCAATTTCACTGTGGAATCATTAGAGAGAAATGAAC